GGGAAATTCTCGGAAGTGGGGTTGCTGGATCAGAAGTAAATGCACCTGAAATTTGCAGTTTTGACAAAAGTTGCCTTTCAAGTGGGTTGCAGGACTTTGCAGCCAGCTGAGGGGGTGGGAAGTGGCAACAGTAGCATGGGGGGGGGGTACGGGGGTGGGGGGAGGTGTGTGCTGGCGTTATGGCTGCCTATTTTCCTTCTTGTGAAATTCAGAGCATAAACAACACTATTGCAACCACAACAGACACGTCTGAGTCACTTACTGTCTTGGTGACATTGTGACACTGTTTATGCAAATTTTTTAAATGGCCGTGCTGCTTTTAGGAGAAGTCAGGAGTCCAGGCACTCGCCACAGTCCAAGAAAATACTACTGGGGGGCCAGGTAACTAGAGGTCTGGCTGCTTCATAAAATAGCTGGAGAGCATGTTGTAAACCCCAGACTCCAGCAACCACCGAGGCTCGGAGAGCATGTCCAGCTCATTTTTCTTTCTTCCTTTCCTTCCTTCCTACCCAGAACTTTTCAAAATCCCCCTCAGAAAAAATAATCTACACAAGTAAACATCTTGAAAAGCCAAGCCCTGGCATTCAAGGGCCTTATCTCTGCCAACTGGTACCTAGGCGGTTCTTCGCTCTGAATTACCCCTGCACAATTCATGAAGCAGCCTTTCAGCACAGCCCAGAGGCCCTGGGCAGCCGGCTCCTTCTCGGCCAGGTGCAGCCCGGGAACAAAGGCCAGAGATCCGCGCAGCCCATGTGGCCCAGGCTGGCCAGGTGCTGTGGCCCCAGGGACATGTATTCTGTGGCTGGCTGTCTCTGGTCCTGGCCAAGATCTCTGAACGACAGCCAGGGCCGGCAGGAACAGCTTGGGAGCATCCGGAGGTGGGAGGGGAGGCTCCCTGCTCCGCAGCAGCTGCTTGGACGCACGGTGATCCCCTGGGGGCTGCTGCGTAGAGCCCCAGGACCCAGCTTGCTCTCTGAGTGCTGAAGGTGATGGCTGTTTATAAAAGCTGGCTGGCTGGGGCTGCACCTGGTCATTTGCAGGGGCCTGGCTGCAGCGGATAGGGTCACCTGTAATTATTTATCTGCAGCCTAAAATTCCAGCTCCCTAATGCCGCGTTCAAGGCTCCCCTCACCTCGTGCCCTGCCTCCCCCAGAGATTCTCCCTGGACATATTCTGCCTCTGACTTCTACACGTTCAGTAGCATCCCTTCGTGCCTACCTAGGACACAGCCTGCTCCCTTCCAGAACCTTCCGGCCCAGCTCAATCCCCATTGCCCATCAGGACCTGCCCGAGCCCACCTCAGCCATCCTTAGGGGTCCCTCCTCTCTCACGACATGTATGTTTGTCGGGGGATCACCAGACACACTAACTTTGCTGAGATAACCCTGATTCCATGAACTGCATCCTGCTGTCCCCACCCGTCATCAGAATGTTCTAGAAATCCCACAGCTTTGTGACAGGTGTTGAATCACCCCCACAATGGTCAGGATGAAAATGTGCCAACAGCGTCTCAGCCACTAGGGACACAGCTGCTCCCCATAAGGCCGCCGAGGCTGGGTGCGCCTGCAGGGGCTGACACAGCTGGTGGGACGTGGCGCTGGGCACTGAGGCAGGGGGCCTGGGGAGCCCCTTGACACCCAGGCCAAACCCCAGTCATTAGAGTCCCTAGGGCCCAAACCCAGACGTGAGCTCCTCAGGGGACTTTACGTATCAACGAGGGCCTTGGGGGAGGCCACACATGAAGAGACCCTCGCAGGGGTAGAGTGGATGAGACCACTGCCCCCGGCCTGGCCCCGTGCTCCGTGAGCCTCAGTTTCCTGGGCTGTAAAATGGGGAGAATCGCAGCACCTCCCACTATGGGCCTGCGAGCCCCGCATCTCCCCCTGCGTTGGGTCTGGGGTGGCAGGGACCCACAGTTGCCACCCCGGTGGCGACCTTCCCGTTGCTGTGGAAGCGTCACTGCAGAAATAGCTGCTTTCCTGTACAACGAGGCTTACCGAGGGTTAGGTGGGGAGGTCGCCCCCGCACTGAGGTTTTAGCAGGGTGCCTTTCGCCTGCAGGGCGAGATGACTCACCCTCGGAGCCAATGGCCATCAGCTAGCTCGCCGCACTTCCGCCCCCGCCGGGGCCCCAGGACTCACTCGCACCCCACAGAAAGCGCCACTTCTAAAAAGCCCCAGTCCTGGCTAGGGCCTCTGCGGCGGCTCCCATGGGGGCCTGGCCCCCGCCCTGCAGTGCCCGGAGACCAGTGATGCTCTCTCTGGAAGGATCTGGAATCCGGGAGCCAGGTGGGGCGGGCCCCTGAGGGACTCTCCGCCCCGCTCCCCCCCACATCTCTCTCCTTCTCAGGGGGCCGGAGGGAGGGGGTGGGTATTGTTCTCCGAGCCCCTCCCACTGGGCCCTCTGTTTCCAGGGCCCTAACCCGGCAATGACCTCAGAGGGCAGAGGCAACCCCTACCTCCACATGAGGCTCAGGCTCCTACAAAGGGGAGGGCAGGTGGCCCCCCCTCACTCCAACAGCCCCTTTCCCCCATGGATTGGAATGAGCCCCTACCCCACCCCCCAATTCCTGGGCTACATGGAAAGTAGGCAGTTAGGGGACCCTGAGGTCCCCTGCTGAGGCCTGCAGGGGCTCCATGGGGAAGGGGGAAGAGGCCAGGCAGGCTCCAGGGAGCTGCCCAGGCCCAGGCCACTGCCTTGGGGTCCCCAGGCTCCTAAGGAAGCAACCGTCCTCCCTGAGGGCCCTCAGGGGCCTGTTGTGACCGGCCTTCGATGAGGCTGGCAACCAAGGTCCCCATGGGTTCCCCCACCTTGGGGCCGCCATGGTGAGGGTCACTCCACTTCGCTGAGGTTCTGGGGTGCTGACTGCTCCGTGTTTCCTGCAGGGTGCCGGCAGCGGGCCCCCCACCACAGGGTGATCCGAGCTGGGGCGTCCCCCATGGCTAGAGCCGGAATCATAGCCTGAAGCTCAGGGTGCTGGGTCCCTGCCGCTCCTGCTCTCAGTGACAGGGACACCTTGGGAATGGGCCTGCGCTCAGCAAGGGGTCCCAGGCACCACGGCAAGCGCCCCAACCCGTGCGAGGCTGGCTTCTCTGAGCCGCAGGTGTCTCCCAGCCTGGCACTCAGCTCCCACCAGGCAGCGACTCCGGTTTCCCGAGGGACAGAGGAGGCTCAGGAGGACCAGCCATCCTGCACCCTGAGTCTCCCGGACCTTCAAGGGCGTCCGGGTCAGCCCTTTGCAAACTCCCACTGAAAAACCTTTTTCCTTAAACCACATCAGACCTGGACATTCATTCAATCAGCGGAACCTTAAGAAGGGCGAGTGAGAGTGAGAGGGGATGCCCCAGGGCCTGCCCACCCTATTCTGAGACCCCCAGTGCAGCCCCTGAGTTCTGAGGAACAGAGCGAAATCCTCTGATTTGGTCGTGTGTACAGGCAGCCTGTTCTCCGAGGCCACCCAGCGGAGCAGCGGACTGGGCTGCAGGCCCCCCGCCCCCACCCAGCCTCGTCTCACACTGGAAATCCCTTCACACAGGCCTCCTCCGCAGCCTGCAAACCGGCTCTGGCCACTCCCATGGGGACCCTCATGCGCCCGGTGTTCCTGGTCCCACGGCCAGTGAAACTCAGCCTCCTCCTCCTCCTCCTCCTCCTCCTCCTCCTCCTCCTCCTCCTCCTTGAGGCCGATCCGTTTCCGTTGGAGGAGCTGACTCTGACTGAACTTGCAGAGAACAAAGACCCCTTTGTGAATCGCTTTTGGGGAGGGAGAATTGCCTTAATAATATGAGAAGCAGCAACGCTAATTTTGTGTTTTGTAACTTGTCTGGTGAATATGAAATAAAAACCACTTTATTTTGAAAACCTGCCGTGGAGCCAAGTTTCTCTGGCCTGGACGGGGCCGGGGCCTGGGGCCGGGCCAGGGGGACCTCACTGTGCTCTCGCGGGCAGCTGGGCCTTCTGGGAGCACCCGGGCTGCTCTGGCCCTGCTCTGCCCAGACAAGGCATCGAGAAACACGGTATTGGTGTATTTCTTTTCCAGCTGCAGGAAGTCCAGCTTGTGCTGGAAAAAAGGGGCTTGATCTTCTCCTTTCCCTGCTGTTCCCACCATGTACGTCTTTCCAAGTCCCTTCCTGCCACCGCTCCAGGCAGGGACAGAGTCACAGGGACAGGCCTGGGGCTCGTGCAGGAGCTGGGGTGGGGGCTGCAGCTGTGGCCCCGCTCCCACCAGCCCGCTGCCTGGGGAGGGCGGGGCTACCAGCTCCTCGCTTGGGCTTTCTTCACATACTCCATGTTCTGTCAGCTGCTTGCACCCTTTTCTATCTCAAGGCATGCGTCACCACCCCCAGGAAGCCCTCCCTGACTCAGTTTGCTCCCTGCATGCACCCAACACTCAGCACAGGGCATCATGACTTTGTCTTATGTCTGCCCCCTCAGCTGACCGAGACCCTGACTGAAGACTTAACACATCCTTGTGCCCCCAGAACCCATGCAAGGGCCTCAATGGGCCAGGGCCTGAGGGGGGATGAATGAGCGGGTCCACATGCCTTCCTCCGTGACAGTACTGGTAGTGGCCCAGACTCTGGTAGCTGAGAACTGCCCTCTGTAAGAAGGCAAGTGGGGTGAGGAAGGACCTGAACTTACAGATTCATGTAATGAGGTGCCTGTGCTTCAGCTTCAGGTACCGTTTGATCCAGGGTCTTGCTCTTCATCACTTCAGCTTGGCCTTATCACAGGCAGGACTCCCCCCCATGAGGGGAGCTGGAAATATGTATCCTGCCAGTTTATAAGACTGTGGAAGGACAGCCCCTTCATTCCCAATGCGTAGCAGGGTCTCCCCCCAGACTGGGGGTCCAAAGACAGGATCTTCCCCAGGAAAGGAAATGCTCTGGCCATTCTTGTGAAGCAAGGAGCTGAAGGGGCAGGCTGAGGAGGAGAGGAGCTCACTGTGCTACCCTCGATGATTCTGGGCATGAAAAGTCTAATACAATACTTTGCATTTCCTTTATTAATCATTTACATATCATCTGTTTCTAAAAGAGACCTGAGGCCACAAAATGACTTTGGCCTTGCACGGTACCTTCCACTGGGTGCCCGCAGTGAAGGACTGGGGCCGAGAGAAGGGGAGTGCCCGGCCGGCTGAGGCCACCAACCAGCAAGACGTCTGACCAAGGTGTGCCGTTGGCCGAACCAAGATTGCCCTCCCAAATTGGAAGAGCTGCTTGGCTTCCTGCTCTCCCAGTAGAACCGAGAACACGCAGAGTGGACGTGTTGCTGTGTCACTGTTGAGGCTGTCTTCTGCCCGTGACCTTCATTTCCCTCCCACTCGTGTCCCTGTGCGGTCGCGTGGCTGCGGTCTCCATGCCAGGCAGACCCCGGAGCCCCAGGCGCCTGGGGAGAAGCGTGTGGTTGTTACTGCTGCTCTCGTTTCCGTTGCTAAATCAGATTACATCTGCATCTACACGTATTTGTATGTGTGTGTGTGTGTGGACATAAGAAGTACAGATGCAGGAAAGCCAGCTGGGCTCTGTTGCAGGAGACCCTCGTTACCTCATGGAAGCCACACGAGGGTCCACTTCACAGGCTGGGAAACTGCTCCCCAGAGAGGCCCGTTCACAAGCCCAGGGACAATCAGCGAGGGAGCGGAGAGGCTCTGAACGGGAAGCCCAGGGGACAAAGGGCCTCACACTTCTTGGTGGCCCCATTCAGTCTGAGAGGAGGCTGGACGAGGGAACCGTGAACGGAGGCAGGACCAGCTCTTTCCCCACCGTGTGGGGTTCCCACACGGCAGTCAGCCACGGGGGGCGGGGTTAGTGATCCTGACCTGTCAATCATTCTCAGGTCCAGGCGGGGAGCCCTTCTGGGTCAGGTAGACATTTCTTGAGGCCTGGCTGCCCAGCTGCCCCGACCTTCGCTCCTGGGGGTTCACGGGGATGTGAGGACCAGCAGGACCTGAAGGACACCAGCAGCCAGAGCCAGGCAGCAGGCAGACCTCCCTTCCCTGGGACAAAGGACAGGAATGGCATTCTGACTTCACCCACACACGTGGCTGGAAGTTGGAGGCTATGAGATTCCTCCCCCAAAAGATTTCCCAGCTCCTTACCTGCCCCGGACACAGGACACCCCCTTGTGTGCTGGGTGCCCACTCAGTCCTCCCCCCGCGTTTGGGGGCTCTGCTCAGTGACCGAGACCCAACTTCAACCCGTAGCGTTCCATTCTAAGGACTGGGGTACAAGGGGTGGATACGCTTGTCTCCTCACCAAGTGGATGGCTCATGACGCCTCCGTGTGAGGTGAACCCCCAGACCTCGTGGTTCAAGCGAAGACAATGGCGGACCCTGCAGGCCCCGCGGGCTGGGCCCAAGGGACCTCAAGCTGACACGCTGGCTCTCCTAACAGAGAGCAGCAGGGACTCCCTTCAGCAAAACGGTCCCCCCACCTCATTAGGTTCATGCTGTTCACGGAACCCTCTCTCTCTTGTCCGCTTATTTTGCTAGAATTTTGCGTGCGAGTGGTCTTGGCGTCCCTCTAACAGTTACAGCATCAGGGAGTTGCACCTGCTGCCGGGTGTTTATGCGTTTAAGTAACACTAATAAAAATAACCTGCGTCAACCCCAGGGAGCCAAGAGAGTGTCCCCTCTAAGGAGGGGAGGGGCCCTACGTGATCGGTGTCTGAGAAACGCTGTGGTACGGCCATCCCTGAGGGGTCCCCAGGCCATGAGGAGGTGGCCACAAAGGATGTCTGAAACGCACGCACCTCTGGGTTGGAGCCCATATTCCTTCGTGAGCTGGGACCTGGGAGAAGGACTAGGTGTCACTTTCTACACCTGAAAAGTAGAAGCTCAGTAACGCTTAGGTTCCCCACCAGTCCCCGACGTCACCCTTCCCAAGGTGGGCCCACTTCACCCAGCCAGACCCGCTGGAGAAGCCTGATCTTGAGGCATGAGAAGCCCTTCTCAAGTGGGGATGCACCAGGCCCCCGAGAAGCAGGATAGGATAGGGTTTGGCTGGGGGCTTTGGGGCAGGGGGCCCCCAGACCCAACTGTCAGTTCCACCGTGGGGAGAACACCCCACCACCCAACACTCTCAAATCCAAACCAAGGGGTGACCTCGGCCACCCCATGCCGTTCAGTGCTGGTTCGAAGGGACTCGGTCACCCCTCAGCTCAGGTAGGACAAGCAGAGGGGCCTCAGCAGGGAGAGCGCCGAGCCCTGGCACTGGCGGGAAACGTGGATGGATTTCCAAAGCGCTGAAGCCAACCCGGGGCTGGCAGAGTCCTATGACCTGCTCAGAGCAGCCAGCTCCTCCCGACCTGAGCTGAGGTCAGAGAGGTCAATGAGTGCCCACCCGAGACACCGGTGCAGCCGGCCTGGCCAGCAGCCTACAGCCTCTGAGAGGTCCAGTGGGAGGCAGGTGAGCCGGGCTCCGGCCAGGCCTGGGAGGCCAGTGGAGAAGGGCAGCGGTTTTCCCAGTGAGGGGCTGTGGTCACCCGCCGGCCTGGCTCCCCGCAGGGCCCTCGAGTCCCTGGCCTCACGGCTCGCCCTGGACATCTGGGGCACCGGGCCGAGGGTCGGCCCAGCAGGGGCTGGCTGTGTTTCCTGACCAGGCACGGATCTGATTTATTTTTACTTTTCAGGGTTGTTCCCACCCAAATGAAGGCTGCTTTTCATTTAACCAGCGGCCACTAAAAATAAATATTGAAACCCCACATTTGGGCGGCCGGGCCAGGCCACGCTGTGCCTGGGAGGCCAGCTCTCTCCCCAGCTGGGACAGCGACCCCCTCGTGCCGCAGGGCGGGAGGGGCCGGGCACTGTGAAGTCCTCGCACATCTGTACTCTGCCCCCGCCCTCCCCACCCAGGCCTGAGGAAAAGAGGAATGAAGTCCTCTGACCTTGGAGGAGAAGGTCAGAAGCAGACCCAGAGAGGAACTGCCTCTCTAGAGCCTTCTCTCTGTCCTGGGGTGGGCAGCCCCACGAGACAGCCTTCCTGTTCCCAAGTCCTTGGTTTGCTCCAGCCTGGAGGGCCCCTCCCAGAGACTGGACACCATGGCCCTGGCCACCGCTAAGCCCAGAGACCACACGGGGCAGGGGGTCCTGGGGCAGCCGGCTGAGCTCTCCAGCTGAGAGACAGCCGACTGGAGAGAAGAAAGTCTCCATCCGCCCCCGCCAGTGACCTCCTGCTGGTTCCCAACCTCAAATGCACAGTTATTGGTAGGAGGGAGGTGGTTGGGGTGGGAAGGCCCCAATTCAGCATCTGGAGAGAGAGAAGGGAGAGGGAGAAAGAGAGAAAGAGAGAAACATTGGTTTGTTGTTCTACTTTTACTGTATTCATTGGTTGATTCTTGTATGTGCCCTGACTGGAGATTGAACCCATAACCTTGGTGTATGGGACGATGCTCTGATTAACTGAGCCGCCAGTGCAGGGTGGGCACGGGGTGTGTCTTAATTAGCCAAAACCAACACGAGGCCTCCTGGCTGGAATTTAGAATCGAATCATCATAGGATCATTAATTAGCACCCACATCCCTTTCCTTGCACAGTCCCCCCAAAAACTGTTTGCTCCCCACAGTGGGCCCTGCTTGAAGATAATAAAGCCAGAGAGACTCCAAAGCCAGCTCAGCCTCCAGGTGTAGGTGGCGTTAATGACTAAATGACACCTTCCCATGCTCTGTGTCCGGTTATGTGGAGCCGAGAAATTCTGCTTCCTCCCCAACAGTGTGGCCTCGGCTGAACATAGAAGCCCCGCCAGCACCTGGTGAGAAGACAGAACCGCATCAGCACCGGGCCGGTCTGGCCCCTGTTCTCCCAGCACCTGTGTCTCTGGAGGTCTCAGGTAGCTCAGGCTTCACCAGGGCGCATGCTCTCCAAGCCCTCCAGGTCGCCGGAAAATCTCCCGCACACGAGGATCAGGGGACAGGCCTGAAAGGAACAGTTATTGGCTTGAAAAAAAATGGTTACCGGTTTCAGATTTCACTTGATATCAGCCAGGCTTTCGTTCCAGGAAACAGAAACCACTGTAACCATTTTGAGCAAAAAAAGTTTTGACAGGAAATTAGGGGCTTAAAGTTTTATTGAGAAGGTGGGAGGAGCAGGCACGGGCCTATTGGGGCGGTGCCTGGAACCATGCCCTGGGACCGGCTGGCCGGGTGTCACTGCCACAGCCAAGTTAATACAGGTGGAAGGTCGAGAGGTCATCATTCCAGCTTCTCTGCTTGCCTCTTGACCCCACAAAGGGACTGAAGGGCCACTGGAAGCACCACCACAACTTTGCCAGCCAAAAGCAAGGCCAGAGGTACTCCTGGCCTTGAATTGCAGTGGCATGCAACTAATTAGCAAAACTGGGCACGTGCTGGATGGAGCTGGCTCACCCCAGGGAGTCAGGAATGCACAGCAATTCCCATTTCACATTCAATGATGTCATATGAATAGCCTGATTGACAACTGACCGTGGTGGGAGTGTTTACACCATGGCAATCGACAAGCACTAAAAGCCAGAGTGCATTTTGTAAAAGAATAGAGCCGGTTGTTACATATTTATCAGCACGCCGATGGGCAGACCCCAGCTCATGTCTAGAATTCTAGCTGCAAGGGAAGCAGGCAATGCTGTTGTTCACTTTCCACCTTTTGAAGAAACACAAAAAGGAGGGTGGAAAAGATGCTAGGTGCCAAACCAGCATCCATTACCCACAGTCCTGGGAATGTGTCCGACAGAAAAGTCACATGTGTGAGATGATGCACAGCTGATAATGAGACACAATTGCTCATTACTGTACTGAAGCCACATTTCCTAACACAAATTGCTTTTGAGCATATGTTGAAGTTTATTAATCCTCCAGTCAGAAAACTGGCAAGCTGACAACATACTGTCTTGGTGTCAAAGAGGGTTTGGAAATTGAGGCTATGTCTCCCCAGGGGGGAGGAAACGAGAGGAAATGCTGCTTGCCTAAGCAGCTCGTTAAAAAAAAAAGAGGCGGTTAATAAAGGTCGGCGTTACAGTTGCACGTACCACAGTCATTGAAGGTCATTTCTGGATCAGCCGCAGCACATGACATTGGAGGCATGGTGACCTTGGAGCGACCAACTGCTCACCAGAAACAACGGGAAACATGTCCAGCAGGCACTGCCTCTGTGGTTATTAATTAGACAAAGTCACACGGTTTCATGCCCCGGAAGAGCTGGGCCAGGGCCAGCCAGTCCCCGAGCAGCATGGGCGTGGAGGCGGAGGCCAGGCCAGAGCACAGAGCAACCAGGTCCTGCTTTGTCCACACGGCCAACGTGAGGTTCTGGTTCAACGGCATTGACTATGCAGGTAGCCCAATCCTTGCTGGGTTGTTTTTTTTAATTGGAAAACAGCCAAATATGAAATAAGCTGGAGTGGACTGAATGGAGTTCTCCCTGAAAGTCCATATACTGAAGCCCTAACCCCCAAAGGGGTAGCATTTGGAGGTGGGTTCTTTAAGGAAGGCATTTAGGTTAAATAAGGCCCTCAAGGCGAGGCCTTGATCCAAGAGGACTGGTGTCCTTTGAAGAAGAGAGGGACCCCTCGAGCTGGCTTCCTCGCTGTGCTAGGCGAGGACACAGCCAGAAGACAGCGGACGCAAGCCGAGAAGGGAGCTCCCGCCCTCAGCAACCCCAAGGGTGCCTTGGACTTCTGGCCTCCAGAACTGTGAGCTAATGAATGCGTTGTTTCAACCTCCCCCTCAGGTCTGTGGCATTGTCACAGCGGCCTGAGCTGACTGACACACAAGGGCACCGGTTAAATAAATTAGAGCGCGTCTATCCAGGTATTCACATCGCATATGTGAAAAGTGGCCCCGGACTTGTGCAAACAGAAACACTGACTTCTACAGAGAAATTTAGTGCAACCATTAAAATGAAAGCGGTACCTGGCTGGTGTGGCTCAGTGGATTGATTGCATGCCAGCCTGAGAACCAAAGGGTCGTGGGTTTGATTCCCAGTCTAGGCACATGCCTGGGTTGTAGGCCAGTTCCCAGTAGGGGGTGTGTGAGAGACAACCACTCATTGATGTTTCTCTCCTCTTTTTCCCTTCCTTGCCCTCTCTCTAAAAATAAATAAATGAAATCTTTAAAAAAATTTTTTGGCCAAGATGGAGGCATAGGTGGATGTGCGGTGCCTTCTCACACGACCAAGTTTAGAGACAATTAAATATTAGCAACAGAAAACACAGCCAGAACACAGAAAATTGAACTTTTTGGAAGTCCGTTAACAACAAATTCTTCAGCCTGACCGGTAAGGGGTGAAACCAGCGGCTGGTGAAGCGGGATTGCACAGGAGGACTCGGTCAGACGGGCTCAGGCGCGGAATCCAGACGTGCGGGAATCCAGGCGCAGGGTTGGACCTAGTGAGCGACCGAGCGAGCGACCAGGCGAGCGACCACGGGGGAGACAGCGGGGGAGCGGTGCTGCGTGTTGACTGTGGTCGCGCATTTGTGCGCGGGCGGACAGGCGAGGGAGTGGGCGGTTGGACCGGGCCGGCGGGTCCCCACGGCAAGCGGCAGTGGAGGGCTCCGCCATTTCCCTGCTCTGACCACGCCCCCACATACAGCGTCATAACCCAGCGACTCTGAGCGGCCCGGCCCAGGTGAACCACCTAATGCGCTGATCCTCACCCAGCTGTGAGAAACGGCAGAGGGGGGTCGCCATTTCCCCGCTCTGACCACGCCCCCACATACAGCGTCACAACCCAGCGACCTGGGAGTCCAAGGCACCGCTTCTCACACTTAAAGGGCCAGAACAGACCAAAAATGTCGCAAGATCTCAAAGCCCCAGAGCCCATAGATCTAAGCGATGAAGAAATAGCAAAACTCTCAGATGCACAGTTTAAAACACTGGTCATCAGGATCCTCACAGAACTGGTTGATTATACCGACAAATTAGACAAATATATGAAGGTGAAACTAATTGAAATGAATGGAATTGCACAGGACACCAATAGCAATGAAAAGGAAACTGGGACTCAAATCAATGGAGTGGACCAGAAGAAAGCAAATAATGGCCAAACAGAAAAGAGTCAAGAAGCAAGAATTCAAAGAAATGAGGAGAGTCTTAGGAACCTCCAGGACATCTTTAAACGCTCCAACATCCGAATGATAGGGGTACCAGAAGGGGGAAAGGCACAGCCACCAGTGGAAAACTTATTTGAACAAATAATAAAGGAGAATTTCCCCAATCTGGCAAAGGAAATAGACTTCCAGGAAATCCAGGAAGCTCAGAGAGTCCCAAAGAACTTGGACCCAAGAAGGAACACACCAAGGCACATCATAATTATATTAGCCAAAATTAAAATGAAGGAGAGAATCCTAGAAGCAGCAAGAGCTAAGGGGACAGTCACCTACAAAGGAGTCCCCATCAGACTGTCAGCGGATTTCTCAAAAGAGACCTTACAGGCAAGAAGGGGCTGGAAAGAGGTATTCCAAGTCATGAAATCCAAAGACCTACAACCAAGATTGCTCTATCCAGCAAAAGTTTCATTTAGAATGGAAGGACAGATAAGGTGCTTCTCAGATAAGATCAAATTCAAGGAGTTCATCATCACCAAGCCCTTATTATATGAAATGTTAAAGGGACTTATCTAAGAAAAAGAAGTTAAAGAAACATGAACAGTGAAAGGACAGCAAACCCACAGTTATTAAGAACCACACCTAAAACGAAAGCAAAGTAAGAGGACAGCTAGATCAGGAGTGGAAACATAGAAATGAAGATCTCAAGGAGGGTTAGCAACAGGGGAGTGGGAGGAGGAGAAGGGGGAGAAGGTACAGAAAATAAGTAGCACAGACAGTAGACAGAAAATAGAAGGGGGGGCAAGAATAGCATGGGAAATATAGAATCTAAAGGACTTGAGACACATGGTCATAAACTAAAGGGGGGTAATGGTGGGGATGGGGGGGTAGGGTGGAGGGGAATGAAGGGGGGAATAGAACAACTGTAACAGCATAATCAATTTAAAAAAATTTTTTAAAGAAAGAGGCAGCTCCATAAGTAAACACAACGATCTCTGCAATATGTCAAATGAATTAAGGAAGGTGCACGTCCTTACGTAGAGCACGCTGCCTGCCATTTGAGGTAAAAGGGGTCAGAGGGGTCTATGAAAGTGTTTGCTCAACTAAGTCAAAGGAGTTCTTGAAGACGCCTAAGAAAATGAATCCACGGCTGCCCCCAGGGAAGAGTAGCTGGAAACAGTTCTGACTTTTGTACCAATGGGAAACTATTGCCAATGCAAAAACATTTAAATCTTTTTTTAAATGGTTGCAAGAATAATACTCGGGCATCAGAATGTGGTGTTTGGCCCAGGAAGAGGAGGGGTCAGGTTGCATGTCTCCGGGTACAACCTTAACTCCCTGCTTTGTTGCAGGAATTAACCCTGAACTTCAGGTCACACGGAGGGCTGGGGCCCTGGCCTGACCTTGGGTGAGCTGCCCGTGCCCATGGCCACCCTTCCTGGGGGACAGACGTCACCTACGCATGTCTGCACAAACCCAGGTGTGAGGTGGGCCCTCTCACTAGGCGAAGCCAGGGTTCAGGGGCTTATTGCATGCGGCCCAGATAGGAACCCCACCCCGGGCACCCGCACCAAGGCCACTTCTGCTCTCCACCTGGAAGAGGACAATGGGGCCGTGAAACTGGTGGCCACAAGGCGTGGTGGCCTATGTGTGAAGTCTCTTGCTGGTCCTGGCCCTCACTGTCACTAACCCTGGCCCAAGGGACAAGCTCGGTCCACTCTGAGGATGCTGTGGGGACTGGAGGGGCCACACGGAGAGGCTCATAAATGCTGACCTATTTCCTTGCGTCTTGCTCTGGCCGGGAGAGGCCACCACGAAGGCTTTGTGGCGTCCCTGTGACTGAAGCGTCCCTCAAACCTAAAGGCGTATTCAAAGGAACAGATGTCTTAATTATTAGGAGCAGGCAGGGTCCCTTTGAATCAGGCATTATATGCCCTTGGCGGGACCTGCTGGGCCCAGGTCGGGAGGTGGGCCAGCCCAGCCCTGGGGCGCTGTGT